AAGAGAAAGAGGCGTGACTCCAATTCTTGGCCAATCCATAAAGAACGTCACAGCTCACTTGCCGAAATTCAACTTCAAAATACACTCCAGCAACCCAATAAACTCTTATTCCATAACGCGCACGAGTAGAAATACAAATCAAAGGCAAATCCCACATTGTGTCTTCTCTTATTTTGTTTGCCCAAAAGAAGGCCACACTAGACTCTTTGCCATTTTTGGGGTCACGCATAGAAAACTATGGAAAGCGGCAACACGGCCTGCTCTGATCGTGAAAACAGTCTAAAGGCTGCCATGTTATGGCCATGTTGGGTGCATGAGTTGGCCGCCCAGCCATGAATTGACAATCCAATGCGGCACGAGTCGGAAGTTGGGAACAACGATAACGAGACATTTTTTCCATGCTAACTGTAACAGTTACAGTTACAGTTGCAGTTCAATTTACATGGCCATCAATCATCGTCAAAGCCGTTCGAGCTGAACATGCCAAAAACGGAAAAAAATAATAATACCAAATTGATTACACTGTGTGTTTTGTATAGTCCAAAAACAAATCCGTTAAGACTGAAGACTTAAGCTGGCGGTTTCCAAAGCGCCTTTTGCCATGTGAAATTCGCACATGAATAGCAATAGCAAAAGCAACAGAAGCAACAAAAACAATTTTAAAAGCCCCAGACGCCAATGGCATTGTTTATTAAACATTTCAGAAATGATATAGCCAAGTGATTTTAATTATTATTCTTTGCTGCTCTGCTGCCGCTCGATGGATGATCTCATTTTTCAATTGAAAACTTTGGGCAGCTCATGTGAAAAGTTTTTGTTTATCGCATGCGTAATAAATACATATGTATATGTGTTTTATAATCCAGTCGAAACGGCTGAAGGGGTCCGTCTGCCTCTAGCCAGGGCTCCCACAGACTCCCCCGACTGCTGCTGCCGCTTAGCTCAGCGCGCCCCTCCCCCGCCACATGCCAGCCACGCACTGCATGTCCATTTAGCATAACTTCTAATTAAAAACAAAAACATTTGCAGCACGCATGTTACGAAACTCGGAGGCACCACAAAATGTTGCATGCAAATGAAGAGAACAGAGAAACCACTTAAATAGCTCGCATCTAGATATGACGCACTCATAATACGCTTTTATTGCATTTTGAATAGCCAAAAGGTTTCAAATGATAATTAAAATAAATGACAGCGCTGAACAAGACATTTTACTTCCCGAATACCTGGTGAAAAATATTATTAAAATTTGCTTAATTAATAGGAAATATTAATAATATTTAACTCTGATTACATATTGAAAACCTTTTCAGCATTAACAGCTATCGCATGTACATACATACATACATATGTATGTATGTGAAAGCATTCAGTTACGTAAATATATTGCCATTGGCACACGGTAGGAATATAAATGAAGGTGTTTCTAGATAGGTACTATAAGTGTTCTGAATTCACTATAAATGAATACCTTTTATACATACATACGTATAAATCTTGCATATATGTATATACGTATTTATATGTATATACATATGTACTCGTGCTCGATTTGAAGTTGATTTCCCCCTTTTATTGACGCTCTTTGTATTTGCAGTGCAAAATTCTGATATACATATTTATTTAACAGCTCATTTTGTCCCGTTATTTGACACAGTTGCTTAACCTTAAGCTAAGCTTTGAGCTTTGCCTATTTAGCAGCCGGCAGCAGTGTAAACAGCCATTAAATAGCCAAAAAGCCCGCTAGTTATCCCTTTATTCTGCGAACTATCGCTCATTCTCAATCTCTCCCACTATTCCGCCCCTCTGTCTCTGTCTCTATCCCCTATCTCCTGGCCACTTGAAAAGGGGCGTATGAAATTAATAGACTCTCCAAGTCGCTTAATTATCGCACTCAGCAGACATTTTAAAATGGGCAAATGTGTTTCTTTTCATTTTTTCTTCTTTCTTTTTCTGTTGCTGTATCCTATTGCTTGCTGTAGTTGTTGTTGTAGTTTCTGCTTTATGCAGCCATTTCCCTAGCAGACATAGCTCGACTTGTTGTAATTGTAATAGTGTCCGTGTGCCTCTGTTGTTGTTGTTGTTGTTGTTGTTGTTGCTGCTGTTTGCTTTATTAGATGATGATAACTTGGCTAATGAGTTGTTGGACTGACAGCGGGACTGAGCGAAAAGCCAACGACATTGTGTTTTGTGTTGGCTGACCAAAAAGACCAACAGACCAACAAGCAAATACAGTCAAAACAGCAGCAACAACAACAACAACAACAACAACAACGAGTTTATTTGAGCTGCCCGCGCATTTTCAACGTTTTCATCTTGAGAATTTGTAATTTTTTGTTTTGCTTAACGCTTTTGTGAAGGTGAGCAACGCAAAAATTTCAAAAAGCGCCAAAAAAGAACCTTTTGTGAAGATCGAGTCAAGCTTAAGGTTAAGCGGGTAGCTAGAAAAACAACAGTTAGAGAGCAGCGATAAGTGAACTGCGCTGAGCCGCTGCACCGCGCAGCGGCTGAAACACTTGCGCTTATTTGAATAGCTATAAACGGGTTCACAGCGGACCATTAACCTGAGCTATGGTAGTAAGTGGTTATAAATATATAATGCATCTGTAAATGTATCTTTATCTGTATCTGTGTCTGTGTCTATAGCTCAATGACAATATGTGTCGCCTAATCGCTCGGGCAGTTTTGGATTTAATTTAGTTGCTTCATCACACACTGATGGGCGTGTACATTAAACTGTACAATTTTATGCCTATATTTAAATATTAGTTATATTTAAATATTAGTTAGAGTCTTAAGAGCTGTCACTATACATATGTAGAAGACAACTTGTTTAGTAAAATATACAAGCTTTGACAAATACAAAATTATTAAAGACTTCTTAAATTAAATGAAAAATAGTTAAAAGAAAACTAAAGCAACATTTGTTTTTATACGAATCAATTTTGTGTCGTTATGAAACTTTTGATAAGAATATACAGTATATATACTCATTTTTGCACATACGTATATTATTACATCATGCTCGTTATGCCGCTTGACTTTTCTTAAGACAATAAGCCCAAGTCTATGCATGATTTCTACTGTTCTGCAAATCATATTTATAGCTCATACATATACATATGATCTTGTCGTAATTATTAGGTCAAGGCACCGTTAAGGCCTTTTTGGCTTGGCCTTTGCTCAATTCTAAGCAATGGCTCTTTCCCCAAACTTGATATTGAATTTCCGCAGTCGAATTCCAAGTTAGAAATTATATTATATACATTTTGGACTATTTATCTATCGCCTATCGTTAGTTTGTTGATACGCTTATCAGCAAGGCGAGTGCCAGAGATAAGGTGGGAATTACGCACAGACAGACACACACACACATACACGGAGCAAAGCAAACAAATGTTGTAGCGAGTCAGATAAGCCTGAAAGGTAAGCTGAAAACATAACGAATCGACAACAACAAAAATTCGACTGCGGTTGAGTCAGAGCTTCTTCGACGTGCAAAAAGTCGAATAAGTATGATCGCTTGCTCGATTGGTGCAATATTTTGGCCAGGACTGTGAGCGCACACAGGTAGCAAAGGTAGCAAGAAGTACTGAGAGTTGCACATGAAATGGGGTTGCAAAAACCAGACAGAAGCAGAGCATTTTAAGCCCTGCAGCCTATTTGTGCAGCTGGGCAGGAGGACGTGACACAGCGCCGCTGACTCAGAGTCCCCTGCTCCTGCCCCTGCCCACACCCCGGAGTCTTGAAGGAAACAAGTTAAGTTGCTCGTGGCACTACTCACCCTTCGTCCAGTTCGAGTGGCAAGCGCTTCAGCTCAGCCATATCCAGCTCGAGGCGCAGATTGGCCACCAGGCAGAGCAGGCGATCGCGCTCGATGCTCAGCTCCTTCACCTTCGACTGCAGCACATTGTTCTCGTGCAGCAAGTCCTCGACATTGAATTTGATTTGTGTGGGCGGGTTCACAGGACCGGAACAGAGCATGGAGCTGGCCATGAGCAGCGACTGCGTTGTCTGGTGCAGCAGCAGTTGCTGATTGCTCAGTTGCTGATCCTCCAGAGCGTCAGGCTCGCTGCGCTTTGGGGACAAGGTCTTGTGCTCGGCCTCCGACATTGTTTTAGTTGTGTGGATGAAAACAAACGCGACTGCACTTCATGGACTCGAACAGAACATCGCGCCACGCAAACTCACTCGCGGCCAAGAGAGGAAAAGAGAATACGATCGTAGCACAGTATGAAAAAAAAAAAAAACGAAAAACAAAAACGACTTTGAATATTACAAGGCGAGCGAAGGAATAACACGACGCAAAGCGACGCCGCCGCAGTGTGCTTCGATTTGAATTTAACTTAGTTTGCACTCGCGCTCTCCTCTTGGCGCACACTCACAGAACTAATACTTTTCAATTTAGATTTAAATTATGTATTGTTGCACTTGTGGTGTCGTGTGCTGTTAAGACAACTCTTTATATTTTTGATTTTCATAACATGCGCGAGCGACGTGCTACTTGTTCTCCGGACATCAAAACGAATACACGAATACGGCAGGCAGCATGACCAGAACCACAGTTTAAAAAAAATACAGATTCCTATACGAAATATACCAATTATAATACTGAATTTTCCTCTTTAACTCACCAACTATATTAGGTCTATCGATCAGCTACCATCTCTAATTCATTAAATTGGCGGTATATTTTGTCATTCAAATAATAATGATTTGATTTTATTTAAGAGAAGTATGCTACTACTTTAGTTCCCCATATTAGGATAATTGTAAAGCTTTTTCAATTTTATTTAATGTAATATTTTATATTAGGTTTTATAATAAATAAAAAGAACATGTCAAACAAAAGCCTATTGTACTCAAAATGGTAATGTTACATATTTACTGTATTTTAGTTCCAATCACTGATCAGTGTTCCAATTGAGCACGCAAACTATGCGTATCAAAGGAACTAGTTTTGAAATTGGATAGGCATAACAACTGTTTGGCTTTTTATTAAATTTTATTTGGAACTGACGCTACGCTTCTGTAGAGAGATGTGCTGTAGGAGGCGGCATTGTCATAGTGGTTTGCTGTTGGGATTCGCTTTTTCGCGTGGAGCGCTTGCGCACGCGCTTCGTCTCCTTTGCCCAATCCATTTCATTGTAAAACTGCTCCGTGGCGCGCCAATGCAGCTCCTGTCGTTGAACTAGTTCTACATGCTTTTGCTCAAACTCCTTGTCCGGCGGAAGGAGAAGTTCCCAGCGCTTCGTGGAATTAACGCGTGCCACAGTGCTCAGCACATCCAAGGTCTCAGCGGGGGGCAACTGCGTAGCAGTCATGATTTGATTACGATACAGGAACGGAGTACGCGAGAATCTGTAAAGCTAATCAGATAAAAATATAAGTATTCTGTAAAGTTGATACATATATGTATTCCGTTCTGTAACCTACTATGTAATCCCGGGCACGTATCATTTGCTCTGCAGAGACTCCATTGGCATGTGATAGTATCTTTTCGGGATAGACCACCTCGGATTTGGGCACCCAGTTCCCGTGCAACAGGATTCCCACTTGAGGTAATAGCGCCAGCACCTTGTCCGCGCTGACATGCGGATCGATATGCTCCGTGAGGATTTGCAGCACGTCAGAGAACGAGAGTATTTTGGCATCCTTAAGGAGCACGCGCAACTGATCTAGCAGCGGTAAAGTCTTCAACATTGCCTTGTTGTAGACGGGCACCACATTGGCCGTGTCCACCTGTTGGACGTGCTCGTCGTGCGGCAGCAACTTGCACAGATACTCGCTGGGCGGCAGTGATAGCGACTGATTAGACTGATGGTTGGTGCTGTACAGTTTCTGCCGCTCGAGCTCCGCTGTGGGCGTGTCCCGCGCATGCCAATAGCTCTCGCACCACGGCTCGTCCACGATTCGCTGCACGAATTTGTCGTAGCTGCCGCGCTGCTCCTTGGACTTTTTTGCAGCTGCACCAGCGCCAGTGCCGCGTGCAAACTTGACGGTCACTTGCTGCGCCACCTCCTCATCATCCAGATCCTCCGACTGCGCCTTTTGCTCCGCCTTGCGACGCTTGTCTTCCTTATCGAAGTAGTTCAGCGAGGGGCGCAATTGCACAATACTAGCCAGCGGGGACAAGTGCATCTCCTTGTCTGTGTAAATGCCCACCACATACTTCGAGATGTCTGTCAGGGAACGCGTGCTGGTGAATGCCTGCTTATCCATGATGCCACGCTTGTAGGTGGGTCTCTCAGAGCCTTTGAGTGTGGCATTAGCGAGATTGTTCTTGCCATCGGCGGCTACAGCGAATTGTTCGCCTTTGAAACGATCAAAGTGTTTAGACTCAATGTTCAGAGCGAAATCCACTTTGACTTCCTGCGTAAACGGCTTCACACAGCAGTTGACGATGACGGCATTGTCGTGATTAAGTAGCTCGGTTTTTGTGGGGTATTGAAATAGGTATAGGTTGTCCTGCAAGTTCTTTGACAGAAATACTGGTATTTCCTCCACAATGGGATCATCCTCATCGTCCATTCCACTGAGGATTTAATACATTCAATTGTTTTACTTTGCCTGCAGTGCACAAATCATGCGGTGTTGTTGGCAGAATGACCAAGTATCAATTTCACATAAATACTAGTTTTGATTTCAAATACGACTTCAATATACTAGTAATATACTGCACCGTGCTTGCGGTAGTTCTACCGATAAATATGTCTATAATACAAAATTCGATTGCTCGATTACCCGAAATCGTTACGTTGACCGCGCGATTGCAGCTTTCAACATGTCCAACCAAGAAGTTCATCTACTTGCCTTCTTTATGCATTAAAACCCAGACGTTGTCACACTTTACATTTAATTGAATTAAATTGAAACTGATTCAATTTTACATTGCATATGTGACCTTTCTAGTTTCTCCCACACAGCAGTCGGTTTTTTAACGTGCTTGACCCTTCAGCCAGCGAACATCATGTCAATCACACGATTCCATTCAAAGACATGTGTACATACGTACAGCTGATGTGCAAATATTTTCCATTCCAATGAGATATACGTTGACGGTGGCGGCGACTCGCTTATCAATTCAATTGAAATAATATTAATAACAATAGCTGGCTTTATAATCAAGTCTGTTGCATCAACATGGACTTCGAGTGGAAGCACGCCCCTCGATGACTAATCGCAGCTCAAATTTCCAGCTGCTATCTGCATGGAAACAGCTTTATGGCTTTATATGCTCTATACATATAGCAGAGTACAGTAACCGCATATTGTACGATCATTAAAACATAAAAAATAATTTATTTGCTTATTAAATTGTTTAATAAATATACAATATATAAAATTTCTGGTTAGTTTGCAAGGCATTTGCAAGGCCACTAAAAGTGTTCTCATGACAAAAAATAATAAAACACCAAAAAACTAGTACAAAACTCCGATTATCTGGTAGACAAACGAATTATCGCTCCACACATTTTTTAACTACGTAGAAAAATACATACACTGATAACGAGGTACATTAACACACTTTCTGTTAGTAGACACACAGAATACACGGACTTGACTTGGACATGTCGGTAGAAAATTAAAATTGATTCGTATTTTAAGGCACAACAGGCACTCTGTTAAATAGATATTACATATTAGTCTAGGGGCATTAACGTTGGACAATAGCGCCCAATAGAAAGGCTGATCTATTGGGCATATAACATTTACACATACATATACGTACACATACACATTATTAATTAATTCAAATCGAATTTTTTTAAGCATGCAAAATTTGTGCTTGGCACTTGTAGGACGAGGATGCCCGATGGATTCGATCATGCAATTCCATCTTATGACCAGCCGCCTGTCAGCTTGTGGAACATTTCCTCGTTCAGCGTCTGATTATTTTCTTTGGAGCGCATGGACATGAATATGTAGCCGCCAATGAACTCGTGCACCACTTTGCAGTCGGCGGACAGGCAAGAGAAGATAACGTTCTCGTCGTGGAATTGAATCATCATACACTTGACACCCCAGTTTACGTTCCAGGCTTTCATTGTGTTGTAGCGCCAGGTCATCAGATGATCGCCCGTATTCAAGTCCATGCGCATGATGCGGTTATGCGCCACGCCCAGCAGCTCCTCCTTTTTGTGGCCATCGAATTTGATGACAAAGAGAGTTACACCGAAGTCAGGCAGCGATTGCCACGCCTGAATGTACTTCAGCTTGGCCTCCATCAGCTGCAGCTGGCGCACATTGGCGTGCGCCTCCAGAATCCGCTGCACGGCCTTGCCGGACAGTTTGCGCAGCATTTTGGGCGACAGATAATCATTGGCGTCCACTGCGCGCGGATTGATATTCAAAGGCGCCGCCTGTGCCTGGGGTTTCTGCATTTGGAGCAGCGAGCGTATGCTGTTCACCTCGCTCTCGTAGCTGCTGTCGGCCAGCGAGCGTCCCTTGGCGGCCAGGCGGCAGGCGGCCATCCATTTGGCATATTGCTCCTCGTTCTCACAGCGCACCCAGTATTCAGTGTTGGGGCTTTTAGGTCCCGCTGGAACCTCGAGCCGTATGCCAAACTTGCCCTGGGCTAAATGCACATCGGGCGTCACCTCGCAGCCACGCAGGTTGATTGTGATGCTGGGGGCACCGCGACGCGTATCCTCTTGGGACTTGTAGAGATGCAGCTGCAGGTCGCGGTACGTGAAGAAGTAGCGCTTGTAGCCCCTCAAAGTGAATACCTGTGGCTTCAGGAAGCGCAAGTAGTCAGATAGCTCGGGGATTCGTGTTATGTTGCCAGCATCGCTGCCCGAGCTGGGGCCCTCCAGGGTGATTTGCAGCTCGTTCAGAGCCGAATCAATGTCGTCATCAGCGCCGTTCTCTTGGCTGGACGACTCAATGCCGGAATCCGTGCCGTGCGGATGCAGATCCGTTTGATGATTGATCTGAAATTGCAGCGCGGCAAACATCAATGTCTCCTCCTCGGTGCAGTCTAGCTCCTCATTAAGTATCGACCACTTGGCCTGCTCGTACAGCTGGTTGATGCGCACCTGATCGTACTTCGGATTCAGGTCAAAGAACGTATAGTACTTGAATCGCAGACAGAGCGTATCGAATTCGCGCACACCTTGCTCCATGATCGACAGCGAGGAGTCCAGCCAGCCGACGTTCATGCGGGCTTTCTGCACCAACGACTTGGGCCGCAAAAGGCGAGCGCGAACATCAGGACTGGGCGAGCGTGGGGAGACGGACAAGTTCTCCTGCAACTCACCAAAGATGGAGCCCGAGTCATAGGGGACGTAGCCATTGTGGCTGTTGTTGTGCCACCAGGTGCCAGTGGGCGAGCTGATGGGTGTGCCCGGTGCAGTGGTCGCACGTCGGGGCGTCGTTGCATACGGCGAGGCTGGAGCGCACAAAAGATTTCCGTTCCCATGTGACCTGTCCAAGCTACCATTGCTTCCATTATAGGCATTTGTGATGGGCACAAATGAGTTGGTGTCTGGCGCAGGATGCAAATAGGCGGTACCATTGGCCTCCGCAACGGGTATCATTTTTTGCGGTAGCTTGGAGAAGTTCTTCTTCAAATGCTCTGGCTCGAGAGGCTTGCAAAATGACAACTCTTCCGGATAGCGTATGTCCAGCTCCTTGCAAAGATTTACCACGGCGCCAAAGGTTTTGATTGAGAAATTGACACGACAATCCAAATAACGTAAATCAGGCATCTGGACACGCAGTGTCTTGTGCATAGGCGTGAAGTGTAGAAATGAATCGGATTGAACGCCAGCCTGGTCGAGGGTGGAGCGCGTGCGCGTTAGCCACATGTTTTTGGCTGGCCACCAGAGCGCATGATCGGACCAATCCTTGGGCATCTCCGGATCGACCAGCTGTAGCATGACGCCGCCTATATGCTGGTCACCGCGCACACGCAACGTTTTCTCCACCTGCAGATCTGTGATAAATATCCGCAGGTTCCAGGTCTTCTCGCCCACATGAATCATCGTGCCACTGTTTTCCTATTTTGGGCGTATTGCCAACACACATAAACGAGGCACAAGCACTAGCACTTGAGCGACTGGGCCAAAAGCTAGAAATGAATAGCAAGCAAATCATTTTATTATTTTTTTAAATCGCTCAATCGATGACGTAATCTACATATGTACATACGCTCTTTCTCTGCCTTCTATCCAATATGCGCGCTGCTTTTGCAATATATACATAAGCGAACGCGAATAGTTTCGCTGCTGGTGCCCTTATCTCGCCCAGATGTTTGCTTTGGATCGCACAGACAGCTACCAGCACTCGCTTAGCTACAGCTCCACTTTTAATGGAAGCTCACCTACTCAACGGGCCTCAATCGTTGATGTTATGCTTGTCGTTGTTAGTTCCCTCGTCGCAATAAGCGCCCAAGGTTATTGTTAGCGTTCTTTCCGAGAAGGTGGAGACGTCGTTGTCGTCCCACGGCACAACAAATACTAATGAATGCTGCAAAATTCCATACACATACGAGCGACTGCGACGGCGGCGGCTACGAGCGGAACAAAGCCAAAACGCCAGCAACTCTAAGCGAGATAGAGAGAGAAATTAATTCATAAATAAATCAGCACGAAGCAGCAACGACGCGACGTGATTTTGGTTGTTTTTTCTTACAACTTGTTTCTGCTAATGTGTATGATTTTCTTTGGCTTGTTTATTTGACTATATACAAATTATATTTGGCCATTCGTATTTGCCCAACTTCTATAATGCGACGTTTATTAGCGTAAATTTATTTTTAGAAGATTTTCACGTTCGTCATCAGCCTTCGTCTGTTGCTAGAGTCGAGCAAGTACTTGTTATCGATTGTAAATTTATTGAAGATCATGACGATAGTATTAATTACAGCAAATAACGTAGATTTCAATACGTTTACCAAAATTATTCACAAAATAAAATTCTAAATATGTATCTTCAAATAATTATCATATATTCCTTTTTATAATTTATTAGAAAGCTGAAATATACGTTGTCAACTTATATCGTGTCTAGATATATCGATAACATTCAACAACCCTGCGCGGACTTAGTCGCATAAATACATTTAACGAACTGACAGTAAGTAATTCTACAGTAAAGTGAGAAATTATAATTTTAAAAATTCAAACTTTATTATTAAATTTAACTTTGAAGGAGTACATTTATACAGATGTTAAGGTCCATGGCAACGACTGCCATTGACACTGCCAGGCACGCACACTTGCCAACGTACTCTGCCTTTCACACAGAATTCGTAAACAAACACAATGAAAGCTCCCGTTCAGCCCCAAAGCGCCAGTCGTTGCGGCGCTGTCTCTTAGAGCGCACGTACTGCAGGAATTGTCTCTCAGCTATCCGAACGCCGACTTGAGTACGCGCCCGTACGCTATCTCGCTCACACATACGTTGACAGTCAATACGAATACCTGTGAACGAGCGCGCTATTGCATGGGCGAGCGTGAGTGTGTGTGCCAGTGTATGTGAGCAGCCAGCTAGGAAAATTGTGCATGAAAAATCAGAAAAATCTTTCTTAAAAAGACGTGAAAATGCAAGCCATGAATCAAAGATAGCGTATACAGTCCAATCACATAATAAATATCAAACGTAGCACAAACAACTGAAACATCAGAAGTATATAGTGATATTTTAATTTTTCGACTTCGTATTGTGTGTTTATTTAACAGACGAAAAATCGATCCGAACGATGCAAATCAACACAAAATTATAAGTTTTTTTTGGAAATAGTAATGTAAAGATCATAAAAACATTTTTTACGTGTAAATTGATGTATACATTCGTGCATATGGTGTATATAATCAAAACGGCTAATTTCATTAGTAAAAGTTGGAAAATAGTGAGCGGTGGGGAAAAAGAAAGAGAGGTAGAAATAGAGCGAATTACGTTAATAGTTAAAAAAAACGCGCAACAGCCGCTGCAATACGAGAAAACAACAACGACAACAACAACAGCAACAACTATAGAAATAACAGCAACAGCAACAGCAACAGCGCTTAGTCATCCGTGTGAGTTACGCCAGCGCAGTTCCAGCTCTCTGGCAGCACACGGTGCGGGCCTATCTCTGTAGAGTGTAGAGTGTAGCGGCCCCAGGTTAAAGCGCTTGTGACTGACTGCTTGATGATAGCGATTGCATTGCACTACGCCTACGCTACGCCACGCTGTTGAGTCCAATAACAACAGTTATCGCAGTAACCTGTTGTGCGCGTTTGTAGTTCACCTTTCGTTGTCAAACAAACAGAACAGCAAGCAGCAAAACACACAAAAACAAAAACACCGCGAATCGGATTAAATACCAACACACGTACAGGCAGTGCACAAACAATAATATACATATATACTCGTATAACATAATAGACGACTAGAAAAAGTTTACACATTCAAATAGAGACCGGGACACACCTGTTTGCTGCATCCATTGTGCCGAAATAATAGTTACACATATATCTTGTTTCTTATTCAGTGAGCAAATATTGAATTGAATCGTTAAAATGTCGCGCTTAACTGAGGAAATGGTGATTGCCCGTGCCAAGCAATCGGACCTGGGTCTTATTAAAAAACTCAATTGCTGGTAAGTTAAACGAACTATTTGTTATTGGCTTTGGAGTGAAAGCCCAGCCCAGTGATCTCTGTCGAGATCTCTGCCAGATCTCTGCCCGCTTACCGCTTTCACTACACCAGTCGCACTCAGTCAGTCAGTCAGTCAGCCTGACTGACCCAAATCCCTCAATTGCCAGCAGCAACCAGTTTAACCCAAGTTGTCCACTTGCCTGCCTACCCGGCTGTCTGGCTGCCTATCTATGTCGGAGCAGGACGGCTCAAAACGTCTAAGAGCTTTGAAGCCTTTTACTGGTGCAGCTAGGAAAGCACTTGAAGGCTTTGCCTGCTGTGAGCACCAGCCATTCGAAACAGTTATTTTGCAAGTGCATCTTAGAGTTTATTAGCTTATAGCTAACTAAATAGTTTATAGAAAGAATCAGTGAGAGCATAGTAAACTACGTGTTTAAAGGATTTATAACTATATCTTTAGTTTAAGATAGAGTTGATAACATAACGTCCTACTTTGCTCTATTATAATGCATATATTACTATACTATATATTATATACTATATAAATCATAGTATAACATATTGTATCTGCACAACAGTATTAAAAATCATGTTTTATATTGTAATACTTACTATTACTACTACTATTACATATATATTTATTTATTTATTGTAAGAAAGCATTAAATCTGAGTAACAATTTTTAAGCCAGAGCGACAAGGGCCTTCAGTCAAATATACTATAGAAATAATAAACATCCAAATATATACCATAAATTAGAAAGATATTATTACATATCATATAAATATATTCATGAATTAAAAATCCCATTAATCAATAATAATCCTTATTTATTCCTTCAAAGTCACGCAATCTATAATCTTTCCGTATTTTGTTTCTTGTCTTTTTAGGGGCAGTGATCTCACCGATGTCAATATAATCAAGCGAATGCACGGTGTTGAAGTTTTGGCGCTTAGGTGAGTCAAACGATTCTTGAAATTGTATCCAATCGGACTCAGTTATAGATTAGAGGAGCGTTACGCTCATTTCCTGCACAGTGCCTTGATAGATTTTCAAATTCAATTAGGCGCTTGCCATGTTAGTCAAATCTTCACATTGTGGGTGGAAAAGTTAGAATGAGAAAAAAGTGAGAGAAGAGAGAGAGAGAGAGAGAAAGAGAGAAAGCTAATCTGGGTATAAGTTTGTATCTGTCAGATACTTGTGCTCAAATGATGTCATTCGCACAGCGAGAGGCAACGGCATCATCAACAGCCGCAAGCAAGCGAGAAAAAAACTATGGCACGCTCAAGCGCGTAATTAATGCAGAAAGCAACACCAACAACAATATAACAACAACAAAATATGGCATAACAAAAGTCGTGGGAGCACCAAAATTGGCAACAGCAACTTTAAGTCTGCGGGTCCAGTAAAGGCCCAACACATTCGCCCGGGCTATGTGCGTGGGGGCAAGGGCAACATTGGCTGCTACAAATAAATGCGAAATACGAGCTACGAGCTACAAGCTACGAGCTACGAACTACGAGATACAATAAGCTCGCACACAGATACCGCGGCACTTAACACAGATACTTGTGCTTGCATGTAGGTGATGATTATGCCAAGTATCTTGAAGTTTTCCTCTATTGCTTGCTGCTACCTTGTAGATTGCGGCCTTATAAGGCAAACATCAATGCTTTTGATTGTCAAGGTCGTTTCGATCGATTTGCATGCCAAACAGCCTGTCATATGGACAACATATTGTTGCAAAACAACAAACGCATGCCTGAACTCTTACAATGTATTTATTGGCTGTGCATCGCCTTATAAGAACCTAGCCAAGCAACGCGCAAAGCCTTAAACTTGTGTCGAGCAGATGGCGTTTTTGTCGGCGTGTAGGCAGGACATGCCATGAGAGCGCAGGACATTTGTGTCACATATTAAATACTATCAGAGCTCCTTAAGCTATAAACAGAACACACTTTAACGTTCCGGAATATTTTGAAATACATTATAATATAAGTTGCCTCTCTACTGCCTTTATATCTCAATAAAAACTATTCAATATTTAAAGGTCTTTAAGAGCTTTTTTAGTAACCTATTTTACCTTATCAAAAAACCGTTACCACACTCAATGGAGCACCGTATACAAATGAGTCAATAGATACGGCAATTCTTGGGGCACGCCATAGGCCCGACCCTGGGTAATAAATATCAACAGCCCCATTTGTGTCTGAATGGGCTCTCGTTGCATTTAAGTAGAAACCCCTTTTAGTTTTATGTCGCTGAGCAAAGGCTTAACATATTTTCTGTTATGCCCACTTTGTTTGCCATTTGTGGAGTTGAAAGTTGTTGCAGATTATTGAGCTGGCCAAGGCGAGGGTCGTGGGTTGTTGGCAGCTCAACTCCATAAATCCATAAATCAACTGTTTTGCCCCCACGTGGGTGTGGGGTGTGAGCATTATTTGTGTGCCGGGTTGCATGTTTAGATTTCTTTCTGCAAGAACAACACAGAAAGTTTCAGTCGAGAGTACCCGACTATTAGATACCTTTAAGCTCGCACAATCTGTGCTCGCGAACATATTGAATATAATTCAAAGACTGTAGTTCGATGAGGACTTAAATCGATCACATTGCAACAAAAATAAAGTAAGGCTAATTGTAGATTTTATTTAAGCCGGTATTGAAAATTTAACAAAGTAACTAACTTTATTTAGGGGTTTTCTAATACATAGCAATTCGATAGGGCTTTTGATTGATGACACTAAAAAGGGGCCTTTTTGAAACAAAACCAATATATGTGCACAATGAAATAAAAAGTCGGTAGATCTTACATGTTCTGAGATTGACACTTGACCAGATCAGTGGAACAAATATTAATTTGGTACAGGGTATCATAGGATGAACATAAAAATTTTGTATTGATTTGTATTGCGTGTTGTTGGCACTTGACTGGGCTCCGTTAATAGTTTGGCCCGCTCCACTTGAAATCCAAGTGGCAACCTTGAACGAAATTGATAACTCTCGCTAATGTGGCACTAACTATGCATATTAACTCAGTATTTCGTATTGTGGTTTCCCTTTTGCCTATGGTGTGCCACTTTCCGAGCCTATTAATAGTTGGTTGAAATCGCAGAGACTCCAAAATATGTCTTGCCATGGCAATGCACCCGTGTACCATTTACGATCCGCATAGGTATCGCATCTAAGTTTAGAAGCGTCTGCTGTGGTTTTATTTTTATATACATATACATTCTAGGTGCTGTGGCACCCATTGCTACCGAGGCCTCTGCAAAACACCAGAGAGCGAACATTCTTATCTTATCCAAAAAGAAAGATAGAAAAATCTGACTTCTACCGCATCGACAATTTTGTAGTAATTAACATTGAAAGAGCTGCGAGCTACGAGAGAGCTCTGACAATGAAAAATTACAAACTGACCTAGACGCCGGCTACCTAGCCAAGAGAGATGATGACTGGAACGCTATCAATGACGGTGGGGCGACGCTTCGTGCTGTGCTGTGGCTCAATATAATATGTTCTCTGAACAGCCTACAGTTAGGTAGCATTAAGAATGTCTCGAAGAAAGTTGAATTTGTGGAGTTATTGACCTCGCGCAGCAGCTGCTGCTGGGGCACCAAATCTTTTGTATCTTTTGTGTAGTCGACGTCTTTGCATAACTTTCATGTGATTCATGGCATTTAAGCGGAGCTTCCTTTGTCACTCGATATGGTACACTGAAATAAAAGAGGACACATAAATATTATTGAGATATAAACAGAAAATTTAATAGGATTAAAGGAGCTCAATAATATTGAATTTCATATTACGGGGCTAGCGAAAACCCTTCACAACAGAGTATATATTAATGTCCCATATGATGTTCCCAATAAAGGAATTTGATGTTACACAACAGTATGTATCGGGGTGTATTTGAGATTTATTATGAAATCTTAAATGAAATAAATTTCACTTTAATTTAGCGTATGACATAAATAATTTACATTAAATATCCAATTAAAAATAAAAGGAATTGAAGGTATATTTTAAATTTTGTTACATTCAATATAAATCCATCTATAGGATATCATATTTTCTATATGATGCGAAGAAGTAAAAATCAATTTACAAATATTTTCAATATTATTAGATTATTAATATTTAATATGCAAATCTCAATTCTTTGAACTTTAAATTTATTGTAGCGTCAACAAAATATCCACCTTGGCACCCTTCGAAGACTGCACAAAACTACAGGAGCTGTATTTACGTAAAAATAATATACAAAATATCAATGAAATTGGTTATCTACAAAACTTACCAGCGCTCAAATATCTCTGGCTAGAGGAGAATCCATGCTGCGAGAGGGCTGGGCCCAAGTAAGAATTACTCTATTATTACATACTTCTTGTATGTGAATATGAATACTAAATCGATATTTTTGTAGTTATCGCTCGATTGTGTTACGCGCCTTGCCCAACCTGAAGAAACTGGATAATGTGGAGGTGACTCCGGAGGAGGTCGAAGCAGCCATACGCAATAGCGGTCCTCAGCAGGCCGATGATGACGTCTATGAGGATGCGTATGAGCCAAAACAGCAGCAGCATCCACAACAGCAGCAGCAACTGCAGCGCTCCTCTCCTCAGCAGATACAGCAACAGCAACAGCAACAACAACAACAGCAACAGCAGCATCAACAGGGGTATCCACAGCAATCGCCGCAGCAGCAGCCACCGCAACTATCGCACAGGGGCAGTGCGAGTCCCTTAAAAGAGGTAACTAACCTCTCTTTCTGTCTTTGCCTATCTATCTGTCAGTTCATTCACACGCCCACGCCTGCTAATTAGGAATGTCATTGCTGCTCGTCAATTAACAAACTACATTTTTCTATCCTAATTACTAACAAGCCGCCACAGTTATCAAGCCCACTTGCTAATAACTCCGATGGAACGAATAACGGGGCGAATAATGTCAGCGATTTATATAGCAATCAATTGCAAAACTCAATGCCCCCAACACCCACAAAGGTAAATGAACGCAATGCGTTAGTTCAACCTGTTTATGACCTGTACTAATTGAGTGTCGCGGTTGAGAGGGAGGTGTTTAATAAGCGGAGTGTTTAAGGGAATGACCGATAGTAGTATTTATATTAGAACGTTTTTATTCACAATACCAAACTTGCGGAAAGAAAAAAAATGCAAACACGTTACCATATCGACATATATGTACATAAACATATCTTCAATTTAAAGGACTTGGAGATATTGGGAGCCGCTGTCCAAAATATAACACAACTAAACGCAACATTCGGGACTTGCCTTAGGAGACAAGATGTACAAGATATAATTTTATAACTAATGGGGATAGTTATCGACTTCTAATTTGCGCAGGCTTTGCAGGGACCTATAATTTGAGGTCCGTTTGTTTTATGTGTCATGAAAAACATAAGGGCGGACAGACGGATGGACGGATGGAGCTAATTGGACTTGTCCTGATCAATATAACTACTTAGCAGGGGCTGCTGCACCTCCTTCTGTCTGTTACATATCTAAAAAAAAAAAAAAAAAACAAACAAAAAATGGTACCTCATGTTCTTATTAAAATAGATGTGATAAAATATATGCGTAAAAACACCATTCACAGGCATTGCCCAAATTGGTTAAATATTATAGAAGAAACATGTCTTTATGATGTGTTGCTGTGTAGTAGACTAATCTATCTTTAAGAGCTAAACTTACCGAGGTTTACTAACATTAATATGTTTTCAGTCCAAGTGGAGAATTTAGTACTAGTACTAACAAATATTTGGCTTTCCATATTCTTTGATATTTCCCAGGAACCCGCACACCCGCCATCGCCCAAATATAACACCATTACTAAAGAGCAACGCACTTCCTTTCATCAATATGATGTAAGATCCTCTTACTACCAAGCAGCCAACCAAATCAGCCAACCATTTTAGCATTTATTTAATGAGAAATGATGAGCTTGTTGCCGGGCCTAGTCAACGTAGAGTTAGTTGGATTCTCTTTTATTTGCATTTTGTATACACTTGGGCGTGGACACGTCACACTTGAGGCCTCACCCGACGCCCATCGCCCGCCTCTCTTAGCCCTATTGGGCGGCGTGTTACGCGTGAACGAGTCACGCGATGTAGCAGTGGCATGGTTAAGGTTCCTCAGCTAGTCGACTAGTGGGACCCATTGTTAGGCGGGGGCTTGGGCTGGGCTGGGCCGGAGTTTCTAGGTTAAGTCGTGGCACAACAGCAGCATTTGACTTTGAGCGAACATCGCACGTCGAGCAGCTGAGGGAAACTAAGACCGAGACGAGACACATAATTACCGCAGAAGCAGCAAAACCAAAAGCTAACTGATAAAAATAGGTCATTATGTATTCAACAAGCAATGTTAGAAGTGCTGGAAATAAAAAGGGGTTTGGCCCCGTCCAGTAAAGAGACCCTCGGCACATTTTCGGAGATCCAATGTTTTTGTAGTGCTCGCAGTGCTTGGGAACAGCAACAAGCTCAGCATTTCGAGATCTAAAATGGTCTGGTATTGAAATGCCAGACAACACAACTAACGTCTTTTTTGTGCTCCTCTCTCATAAAAAAAATAAAACTAAAAACAAACACACCACGACACTAACCAACACAACAACGATTAGCATTCGCCGGGTTCTGACCAGGAGAGTCCGCATGTTGGCTACAGAGAGACGCGCCCAGCGCCCCTGCCACCCAGCATGTCGACGCACTCGATGAAGGTAAAAATCGCTATTAAAAGACAGCTGAATAGTTAACGAATGATGAAGTTGGGAAGTTGACTATTGTTGATCCTTTTTATTTATGGCATTCCTTTGCCTCTGATACAGGAATACTATCAGTCGGATAGGCCCAGCTATCCAGCGCACTATCGGCACAGTCAAACGGATTTGACTGAATGGGAGGAGCATCAACAGGCACCCCAAGTGCATCACAATCCCTATGGTAGCCAAGTGCAGCTGCACTATCCCCAGCGACGCAGCGCCGGTCCCGAAACGTCGGGAGAGCGGTACGCTTACAGGAATGGAAGTGCGCGAGAGAATGGAGGCGAATGGGACGTCGATGATCGGTCGAGACCTAGGTAAGCAGCCTGATAATCCAATCCGAGTCGTTCGGTTCTAATCAACATTTTCTACGATCCAGGCGACCCGAGGGTCGTTACAGTGATGCGGTTAGTACTGTTTCTGCCTCCGTACTGAATCATTTTGGGGGCTGTCATCGACGTCCCGTGAATCGAGTGAGTAGCCTCTTAAGATATCTCATTGAGATAGTCGACTAACGCAAGGTTTTTCTTTTGCTTTCGAAGAATTCGAATCTATTATCCGCTACTTTGTGCCTGGTCAAAGAGCTGGATTACGGCAGTCTGGAAGTTTTGGAGCACGCCGTGCGCTGTCGTATTGACGAACTGGCAGGGGAATGATGAAAACGTGTGTCTAATCGCATGTCGATTAGCTAATATACTTAAGGGTCCGCAAGATCCGCAAAGGGAACCACGTCAGAGGGACAGTTGGTAAATTTGATTTTAAAGACCAGAAAAAAAGACACTCAGTAACACGACTCGAAATTTTTTAACTTATCAATTTAATGAATTACAACAAATATTTAAACAATACTTGCCAATTGTAACTGTAATAATTGTTAACTTTTATAAGCATCGATAAGCTGCAACTTTTCTAAATGAAATATATGACATACGGGAGATATGTAACGTACGTAGAATATGCATATGATAATTAATACGAATTGTATAAACTAACCCAAGAATTTATACGCTCTCAACGTTCTATATGTACAACTAATTTGATCGTTATTCTAGTGCAATTAAGTTCTTAACTTGTTTTTGTTTTATTTTACACTTGACATTGCAGTTGTGTTAATGAATTAGCAAAGTAAGAAAACAAAGCACAGAGATTGGGATAACTAATGTACTAGCCACACTAGCCTTATTTTGTACTTAACAAGAAAAACATGTAACGTCTAAGGCGTCCAGCACAACAGAATACAATACAATCTTCCTTGTTTATTTTAATAAATTAGTTAAAATGTTTATCTCATGATAATAATAATTTATGGGCCGGACTTTTGAAGCTTGCCAAACCTTTGTTATTGAATAATTGTATACAACAATTTAACACCAATTCTTATACAAACTCGTCCACTTTAAGTCTATTTTCTTTTATAAAAATGCGTATGAAATTAAATAATAGTTATATTAACAAAACTAAATTAAATTTGTTTTATTACGTTTTATTAAACTGCTTCTTGAAAATTCTATGAGAAGCAGTAATTAACGCTAACGCACTGCTTGCTTTCTTTGTCTTTTACAAGCAGTTTAATATCTCGAAAGGTTTGTGTCTTTGCTGAATCCAGTTTTTAGCTCAGCACAAAAACGATACAGCACGTAAAATGTACATACATACATACATCAAAACATATCCAATGCAACCTATTTCGACAGTAACCATTTAGAACACAATCTAAATGATCTAAATTCTAAGGAATTACAAACTATGCTATCTTGCTATAATATATATGCATACATTTTATTACTTATTCCCAATTACCCTTTTGATTGCAAATAAAACACAAATATTTAGAGGGGCTTTACAACATATAACACATAATATATTTATATTTGACTTTTATGTAGGGGTGTTCTGTAGTACTGGGTATTTGTATTTGCTTTTCCTTTTTTTTTTTTTTTTGTCTGACAAGCTTTTTGTTACGGTTGTTTTACAGTTGCTGGAGTTTTGCCTAGCTTATATAGCGTTTTATAGTTTTTTAGTTATTTTAATGCTGCTATGTATATTTTTTAGTTAGATAATTTGTTATACATATCTGCTGTTGCTGATGTTACGCTCTGACAACAATTCTATGCCAATTACAAGAAACAAATCTTTTCGAATATTTTTTTATTATTTTGAGTAATTGATGATGATGTTTGTCTGTTAAATGTATTATTTTTGTTTTTATTATTATGTAATTTCTTCGGCCGTTCTCATTCAACGTCTAATACATATACATATACATAAAAGTTAAGTACAATCTTATGTACTTGAATATATTGAATATTTATGTTTTTTTTTTTTTCTATATTAACTTGCTACACATTGATATATTGAAGCTGCAGTAAATCTTAAACAAATGTGCTCTGAAAAATTGTAATTTAATTTTTTTTTTTTTTTCTAATTGTGCAATTACAAACATTTAGGAGGTGCCAGATTATAAATATAATATTTCTAACATTTATATATTATATATTTTTGAATCAGTGTAGCCAATGTGGTTTTTGAAAACTTTACACACTTAATACGTTCACTTTATTTAATATATATTTAATTATTGTCTGTCACAGCGTCGCGTTCGACACAACAACGTGTGCTAGCTTTTAAATATAAATAAATTATGGATGTTGTTTAATTTTGGCAATCTATGCTTAAGCTCTTAAGAAACTAATCGCGATAGATGTTTTTATCGCAATTGACGCATGTCTTCCAAAATGCTTGTTGTTGTTTGCTGAAATTGTCTTCTATTTCAAACAATGCGAAAAAATGTCTTCCAAACACTTTTTAGCATATACAATGTATATATATTTATATATTTATAGAATATTTGTATGATATATTTATAGAAATATATGTTATGCACATCGAGATATTTGCAATAAATACACTTATTTGATTTATGTCTTCTCCTTCATCATCTGCATCGAAAAACGTTAGAACGCTTTCCTCAATAAATGAGCCTCTGATTTGCAATCGCAACTCATTTTGTATAGACCAAGATATATATATATATATATATATATATATATATATATATATATA